GAGTATAAGCTCGTCAAAATCGGAGACCGTTTGGTAACTCAAATTGCGGTTTGAACCTTCCAACAGCGCTTTGAGCCCTTGATTCGGACTCATTTGGGCTCGGATTGGGTTGATCTTGGTGTCGTTGGGCTCGTATTTCCGAGACGCTCAGTTTGACTATAAGCTCGCTGAAATCAGAGTTCAGGTGCTCCCGGGTTAATTTCTGAAGTTTTCAACTAGCTTTTGCCTCAAGATTCGTGCTCGATCAAGATAATTTTTGTGTGATGTATCAACAATCATGATGAAAAAAAAATGATATAATATACTCTAATCATTGAATAGCCTACTTATGTTATTATCATTTTATAAATGATAACTAGTTAGTTTAAGAAAATAATAATCAAATTACTATAGGCTTTTTTATAAATAAAATTTGTTAGAATTTTCTAGAAAAGTTGAGTCATATATTTATCTAATGTTTATAACCTGCTTATGTTTCTCATACTGGTTCAGTTTTATCTTTATAAACATTTGATAATTTCCTTTTTTTTTCATAATACTGCAACTACTTCTTCTGTATAAACTATTTTTATTTTAATTTACCTAAATGTTCATGATAAAAATTAAAATTTGACTTGTTCCTATTCGAAACATTCCAATGGTTGATTAATTATTACATTATAAAATTTTTAAAAGAAATTATAGATTTTTTCAACTAATGACTCCTCATTTTCTTGTTGTTTTAGCTGGCATTGCTTGCTGCAGATAAGACTTGCCCACCTTCACTGATAAGCCATTTATTTGATGATTAAAAGACATGCATATAATTCCATCTAATAATTTGTTAAATATGTTATCACAATTTATTATTTTAATAGTAACGATGATGATGATAATGATGTGCAAGTAAACTTGCTCAGAAGAATTGCTTGCATAGAGAAGAGTACGCAATATATGAAGACTCAACTGATATGATATTCAACTGAAGAATTAAGAGAGCTCTAATGTTAAATTAGCTTAGTGAATGCACTGTGAGCAAATTCAGCATAAAGGAAAATATTACAAATATCAGAATTATTCATTGTCATTAAAGATATCAAAATTATTAGTGAATGCATTGTTTTCCCTAGAGCCTCTGTGATGCAATGTTTTCTTGGATCAAAAACGACAAAGAGCAGAGCGCCGTAGTGTTGTGTTGTGCTGCAGCATAGTCAGACGGATCAAGATCAAAGGGTTGAGCACCGTAGCGCTCCAAACTGATGCCAAAGCGCTCTGAGATCGATGGATTGAACAGTTTTCTTTCTAGTTTTCTCCAGGGTGGCATCCCTTGGTGTTATTAAATTAAATTTCTCTTATGTTTTGAGTGTGAGAATAGTGTAAAAGAGAAACATATGCCTCTGCATTGCCCGTGTTAAATCCTAGAGCCCTTTTACGACTTTCCACTGCATTGCTTCTATTAATTTTTCTTGTTTGTTTTGTTGTGTTGTTGTCGTGTTGTTTACTCTTCCACATCCCCAACAAGAACTTATTTAGTATTTATAGCAAAAATTTATAGTTTTTTTGGGACATTTAGGTCAATTAAGGTAAACTTACTCACACATCAGATATATAAACTCCGAACCCAAGACCTCTTTATTGTTATCTAAAGCTCCCAATCAGCAGATCAAGATAAGTCACTACTATATATTCCCGTTATTAATTATATTTTTTATTGTATTTTATATAATTTATTACTTTCTTTTGTTGCTTATAAATCATCATTATTTTATATATCAACATATTATTTAATTTGATAAGAAATTCTAGTTTTTTATA